GAGTATGCAGTTGTATAGTCTATAAAATTTTAGTAGAACAAAGTGCAAGTTTGAAGTTTCTAAAAAATCGCGTCGATCTTTAATAGTTTTTAATCTGAATGTATTACGCACTTTTTCCATACAAAAAAATTGTCGATCATACTTTGTATGGAAGAAAATGCGTTAAAAAATTGACAAAGATCAACGCGACTTTTTAGCAACTTAAAACTTACTTTTCTTTGTACTAAAACTTAATGCGCTATAAAACTACATACTCAAATAATTTCAAAAAACTTAATCAAAACGTTCAAAATTTAAATGCAATTTTGCAGAATTTTTATAATTTGTATCTTCATCGCAATTTATTCATGACATCGCAATGTTAATTGTTGTTATACAAGTAAATCGTCAAACTGTCAGGACGTGTTTTCTTTTCGCTCCGTATTTTGTGTAACAATAATCACACTCCGGCGACTTACGTTAATTAATTCATTCTGTTATGGTTAAGAAACCTTGAGACAATGGCTCTGCGTTATTATAATAAATGCATATTAAAATAATCAAGTAAACTATTCATTATGCTCAATCGAAGGTTCAGTGTGCCAAGTGCAAAATTTTCTCTCATTTAGCTTGTGTTGGTATGCAACAGCAGCGTTGCCGAATTGACGATTTCGTCGTCATTTTGACGTTTTTTTTTTAGCTCAATGACGTTTTGACGATTTTCCTCCTGTATTGACGATTTTTTTTTTAGTTTATCCACTTAATTATATATGTATGTATGTACACATAAATATATATATGTGCATATGTATGTACAAAATTTGTTAAATGAAAATGTAATCTAAAATACATCCACGCATTTGCATATCTGGGCTCGAATCGTAACAGTCGTGAACGAGCAACTCGTCACGTAAAAATGACAAAATCGGCAGACAGACGTGAACGAACTTCTCATATCGTAATTCGGTATTATGGCAGGCGTGAACGAGCGAGTGAACGTACTCGTTCGTTCGAACTGTCATTCGATTAATATTTGACGAACGTACGCGCGCAAAATTTGATACAATTTTTGGAAAAATGTAAGTAATTATAAAATTTGTGCAAACATATACAAGTTTATAGCTATTTTTCTTATTTTAGGGCCAACTACAATAAATTAAACTCTACGCAGAAGGAACTCATGGCGGAGTTCATGGCCGAACACCCTGACTTGGCAAAGAATTTACTCCCAAACTGCTCGCAGAGAAAAGCAACGGCCAACCGTTTGTGGGAAAACCTCACCAAACAATTACATGTGGTGGACCTTTTCAGGAGTCATGGGCTGCACCTCCATATTGACAATTTATGGCAAGAATCTTGCAAGTGTGGTCACAAATCTGGCAAACGGAATATTAGCAATAAAATGTTAAAATGAAATAAAAGAAACTTACTAGCATAACGTTAAGACTATGGTAACCTTTCCTGTTGAAGTACATGTGCTCGTCTCTAATTGGCTTTTGTAATCCAATGTGTGTTCCGTCTACGCATCCAACCACTAAAAGGAAAAACATTGGATTCACTACGCATTTCATTAGAACGCCTCTTCCTACCTCCAGGTATTTAATATTTTTCCGCAAACCACTCCTTACATCTTGAAGATTCGTTGGGCTGGAACTTTATAAATTCCGGACACAATTTGCTTTCCATTTCTTTTAAGACGTTGGACGTCAATTTTGATTTTGATTTAACCGAAATCTTTTGATGAATCTGCAATTATAGGAGTAGAGAAGGTAATTTATTTCCTATATATAATTACTTACGCGTTGTAGGATAATGCCAATGGATTGCTTGTGCCCCGAAATTGCTTACGCACAACTCTTTCGTCATTTTCGCTTTCGCTAGAGCTTAAATAAAATAAAAGGCTCGGATCCATTTTAGTTTTGCCGCTTTTCTTTATTAACTTTTCACTTATTTTGACACTTCAATGTCTATTGTGACTTAAAAAAAGGAAGAAGAAGAGAAAAATAATCGATAACCAAATAAACAATAATGATTCGTTCGATCACGTAATTTGTGTTCGCCGACTCGTTCACGTCTGTCACGATTGGACCCCTGGCTTTGTTCTTCAACCGTGCTTTTAGTTATATTAAATTTGTTCTAGAATTGTAACAAAATAGTTAATTTGCACTGCTGACACTGATATCTATCGTTAATAAATGCTCCTGTTACACTTTAAAACCGGACCAAAATCTTCAAGAACTTCACATCAGATAAATCGTAAATCTAAATTGTCGGTTATAGTTACGAATCGACTTTAGTAACCCATAAGCAATGTGGGTTCCCTTTGGTTTTGCAATTTGTGGTCATTAGGGCGGAGTAATTTAGTTTCGAAAAAAGTGTGTGGCATATTCAAATATACGTACGAAAGCAAAAACGACAAACAAACTAAGTATATACTAAAAATGTCGTTTGACCCTGCCAATTTAAAAAAAAAAAAATGAGTGTTATATTTTTTTCTGAAAGAAATTAGTTTTTCCTTTACAAAATTTTGTGTTTTCTTCATGCAATATACTGCTTGTCCTTTTGAAAATTGGGAGGGAGTTTTCCAATGTTGTTCGCGGCTACGCTTCATATGTATGTTCATGTTGGGGAGAAATAGGTAGGATAGCAACAAAATAATGTAGTATGTATTTATACATATAAATATGCGCATATCAACAGCAACAAAAAATTTACCGTTTGGATACCATCCAATGTTCTCCATTCCCCTGGCTGATGTTTGAACCGTAACCACAGATCGTTTTATTCAAACGTAGTGAACAATAATAACAATATTGTGTAAATTTCGATATCAAATGAAACGTAAAAAACAATATGGCTCTTCACACCGAGCTCGGTATTCGGTGTCCGGTAATTTTTTTTAATGTATTTTGTTTATGTAAAATAGTGTTACACAAACGAAACACCGAGTTACCCAGTACCAAGCTTTGGTGTGAATACCCATAATATCTACGATGCATATAATCTGCCTATGTGTCTGTGTATAGCTGGACAACGTCTGCCCGGGCTTACTAGTGTATATATTAGTATACACGCAAACATTTTCAATAAGTAATGGGATAGAAAAACAATCAACTCTGGAGAAAGGCTAATATTTTATCCAACCAAAAACCTTTTTGTATAAAAGGGGAAATATACACTCTAAAAAATTTTTGTTTAAATTTGCGCATATTAAGATAGGTAACCAGTTTCCTCTCTTAATGAATGCAAATTTACACACTGCTTGCTTACTTTTACTTATCATATGTGTGGCGTAGAACAAATGTCATTTTTTTTTTTTAAGTTTTAAACATTTATTGTTCACATTTTCATAGTTTACACATAAAATGTTTAAAATTTCCCCTAAAAAATTTTCGTTTAAATTTACGCATATAAAGAGAGGTTCCTCTCCTAGTGTGTGCAAAATTAAACACTGTCTGTTTACTTTTACATATCAAATTTGTCACGTAGCGCACACAAGGGGTGGATTTTGGGGTTAAATTTATTATGATTTAAGAAATTTTGATAGAAAAAAAATTCTTTTCCATTTCTTGTGCGTCATTTTGTAAGAATTTTTCTTTTTTCTTGAGAGCTCTTTAAAGTTTAACTGCGAATGAAAACATTGTCCTAAAAATATGCAGTGCATGCTCACTTACTGTTGCTTTTTACACTTTACATCCTAAAAAAGTTTACCACTGACATGTACTTAACAAGCATTCGAAGATTTAATTTGCTAACTTGGAATTCGTGCCACCGAAATGAGCTACATGATAAAAATACCAGTTCAGCTAAATTTTCGTTATTCGAAGTATTAAAAAGTGAGAAACCAGAAATCGACGAAAATGAATAAAAAAGTAAAAATTTCGTGAAATTATTTAATTTATTTATATTAAAATTCTTTTGTAAAATTTTGTATTACTTTTGAAAGTTGAGTGCATCTTTAACCGTTAATATTTTCATGATTTAATGATCGGATCTAAACCAAATTACGGGACAACCTTTAAGGTACTATCTTTCCGGTAAAAAAATCGGTTCACGCAATGCAAAGTTATGCGGTAAAATAAATAAAAGAAGTAAAAATACTCCGAAGAATTGATAACCTCCCCTTTTTTGAAGCCGGTTGAAAATGTCTGAGTTCTTTGTAAATTTTATGTAAATAAAATGCAATTCATGAAACTTTAAAAAGTTTATTTTTTTATTTCATTCTGTACATAAAACTTGCATAAATGTATTTTAAAGAGCGAATTTTCAGTATTTTCTGATGATATATATTTAG